GTACCAGGAACTGAACTCACGACCTTGCGCTTGCCAGGCAGGCGCTTTTGCCGCTGAGCTAAATCCCCAGCCCCCTGGACCTTCACGTTCTGACCTTGCCATGTTTATGTCCTTGAGTCTTCGTCCACGGACACATCCATTTACTCTGTGTCAAGCGTCAGCTCTCTGTGGGCAACTCCTTTTGGAGTTGTGGGCTCTTCTCTTTTGGAAAGCGTCCCCCGGAATGCCCTCCCCTAGCAGCCAGGCATGGACATTAGCAAGGTTGGGTGCACTAGACAGCCTGCCTGGGATGCTGAACCTTAAGCAAGGACATTCAGTGTGAACCCACGCAACTGGCCAGGTATGGACAGAGTCCTGGAGTGCCACAGAGATGCCAGCTACGCTATCACAGAGGGCATGGCTAAGGGTGAAGGCTCACAACGCCCCATGCCTGGCTGTCCCACCTCACCACTCGGCCCCCACTTGCCTGTCCCTGCTCAGCACCTCCCCAGTCAGCACGTGGGCACACACACCCCTCCCCTTACTACTCCCCCCCGCCCCGTGTTGAGTCCCAGCACCTTTCACACCGAGGATCGTGCTGTCCGTGCTCCCTCTCTACAACTGAAGGTCCGTCTAGTTAACTGCTGCCCCCCAGCACCTACAATAGCTCCTGACAACGAGGAGAGGCCAAGTTAGCAGGTGCTGGGCAACGGATCTGGAGTTGCCCACAGAGAGCTGACGCTTGACACAGAGTAAACGGATGTGTCCGTGGACGAAGACTCAAGGACATAAACATGGCAAGGTCAGAATGTGAAGGTCCAGTGGGACAGTTTAAATAGAACCGTGGGGTCAGACTGGCTGTGGCTCTGTGCAGAATCCACGCCTAACACACGTGAGGCCCTGGGTTCCACTGTCAGCACTGCACTTGGACAAGCGTTCACTGCGGAAGAAATAAAATGACCACAGACAGAATAAGGAGGCTGAGGAAGGAAAAAGGGAAAACAGGACCCAAAGTAAAGACAGAGGCAGTAACCCTGGAAAAGGAGGTCACGTCTTCCTTTGAGGGAGGAAGGAAAGAAGGATAAGGTTCTTCCCAGAATGGATACTAACCTCACCCTCAGCAGAATCACACCTCTATCCGCCCACCTAGACCAGAGCACACAGAGACCTGCGCGTGAGCGGTCATGTGCAAGGACTTGACATTTTCTAGGGAAGGAGAAACAAAACCACAGGTAATTCTAAGAGCAGCGAGCATGGGGGGAGAAAAGATTCAAAGCAGCTCACAGAAAACCTCAGATCTGAGCATCACGAAGACGTGGCGTCACCTTTGGTTAGTTTGGCTCTTCACGGTCCCTGAGTGTTGGAGGGCTGGTCCTCAGACGACGGTGCTAAGTGGGAGATGGTAAAGCTTTCAGAAGGTGAGGCTTACTGGAAGTCAGGTCACTGAGACACCCCTTAAAGGGGGTCCTGGGACCTCGCCTCTCCTCCGCGCTTCGCAGGTGCCAGGGACTCAAGCGGCTCCACTCCCTGACCCGGTCCAACTGTGACGTCCGGCCCATCCCAGGCCCAAAGCAACAGAGCCAGGCAACCATAAGCCCTGAGCCAAAGTCCATCTTTCCTCCTACACTGATTATCCTAAGTATTCTGCCACAGTGATGGAAAACGAAGTCCTCTGTGGTCCCCCTCCCCAGCTGGGACCTGAAGCCAGAAGCTCGCTTATGCTAGGTAAGCACTCTGCCGCCGAGCTGCATCTCCAGCCCTACACGTATGGTTCTGAATAGCTCAGCTCCCTCTGGCCTTCTAAGTCATGGCTGACAGCAAGCTGACACCACACCTGAGGTTTTAGCTAAAATGTTACACCCCTACTGCAGTATCTGAAAAAAGATCGCCCAACTCCCCAAGAAGAACGTAATCATTATGTACAGCAAACATGTACTAATAAAAAATGAAAAATTTAAAGAAAGGAAAACATAAATATTTAGTTGAACATAAATATTTAGATATCTTTTGATTTTTTTTTTTTTTTTCCAGTACCAGAAATCGAACTCACAACCACGCGCTTGCCAGGCAGGTGCGGTTGCCAGGCAGGTGCAGCCCTTTAAATATCTTTTGAAACCACAAATGATTTTTATCTTTTTTTTGAGACACGGTCTGCTGTGTAGTTCAGGCTGACCTTGAACTCACTATGTAGCCCAGGCTGGCCTCAAGCTCACAGTGACTCTCCTGCCTCAGCCTCCTCAGTGCTGGAATTACAGGCATGTACCGCCACACCTGGCACCAGAAAATATTTTTACAACATGCAGTCCCCATCCTTCTACTACTGGCCATAAGGAGGCTGCTCTGGTAGTGCACACATCAAGCCAGATCCAGACGTTTCTGTTTGCCTTTTCTAACGGGAAGGGGAATCCAGAGGCAATACTGCTACTTCCCAGGATCCAGGATTAACATGTGCTACTCTTAGTTTTGTTTTTTTTCTTATTTTTATTTTAATTTATTTTATTTTTTTCCCAGTACCGGGAATCAAACTCATGACCTTGCACTTGCCAGGCAGGCGCTGTGCCGCTGAGCTAAATCCCCAGCCCCCTCTCTTAGTTTTGTTTTGATGAAAAATATTGTCCAGTAAGTTATGCACCTTTGGATCACACATACTACTGCCCCAGGCAGCCACTGGGGAGGAACCCTAGACAGCATTTCACTTTGCTCCAGAGTCACACAGACCTATAACCTGGGACTGTAGCCCTCAGCAGCCCGACCACACCTACCCTCTGAACACCAGAGAGCTGAGAAACAGGCTTCTCGGGGTTGGGACTACGTAACAGGACATCAGCTTTTTAGTCACTCTCCAATTCTAAGATGCAGGCTCAACAGAATCATGTCTGTCTACAAATCGCCCTAACAAGCTTTCTAGAACCCAAGAACAGGTGGAAACCTTTTGCCATCCGAAAGCCATCATCAGACTTAAAGCAAGTACGTAAATTCCCCAAGAGGTGGGTACCTGTCCATGTCCCCACCTTCAGTGGCTGAGCTACAGGCCAGGCCCTAACTATCTGCATCACCTTCCACTCCCTAGCATGCGCTGGCTCTCCACCCTTATTTCCCGTGGTCTTCTCAGCGGACCACGGAGATTAAAGAGGCCACTAAACCATGCGTGGTGGGGCACTCCTGTGAGGCTGGGGCAAGAAGACCACAAGTTTGAGCCCACCCTGGAAATCAGCAACTTACCAAGACCTTGTCTCAAACTAAAAATAAAAAGCTGGGAGTGTAGCTCAGCGCAAAGACCCTGGGTTCAATCCCCAGCACCACAAAAGTAAGTATAAAAAGGTCCCTAAGCTAAGAGCACTTTGTAGGTACATATGGTTATTACAAAGGATCTTACCCATCAGTGAGCAAGGTACCCGCACTACATAGTCTCCTCAGAAAGCCTAAGTCAGAGCGGGGACCCCAGCAGGAGCCGGGGTGAGCAGCTCTGCAGGAGCTTCCTGTCCCGCTCTACTAGATCTACTGATTTCACCTGACTGCCAACGACAGGGCTCCCTGACACGGGACACCAGGCAAACAGTGTCATGTGCCACGTTGCTCAATTACTCAGTGACAGCAGTGATAATCCAGCGCCTTTCTCTGCTCTGACGAAGTTCCCCCAGCCAGAGCTGGGCTCTGCGGGTCGTGCCAGGCACCCGAGCGCTGGAGAACCAGGACCTACTTCCAGCACGCTCCTCCGGGCCCTCCGCCTTTTGTGGCTGCGGGTAACCATACGGACCTCAACCCACAGCAAGCCAGAGCTTACTATTCTTTCTAGGGCGTGAGGAGGTCTGACAACACCCTCCCCGCGGAGGGGAGCGCGAGCCTCTCCCCGCCCTGGGTAGGGAGCTCGGCCTATCCGTCCTCCGAGGCCTTCAGGGAACACCAGCCCGGGGAAAGGAGGAAAACACACACGGTCTCCGCCGCCACTGAGATAAAGTCCGGAGCGGCGGCGGGCGGCGCGAGCACCGTCTCCGCAACGTGCGGGGCCTCGGACCCGCGGCTCGACCCAGGTCGCCGCACTCACCGGGCAGTTCGCGGGTGCGCGCCTCCCTGTCCCTCCGCGTCCCCGGGTCCGCGGCACCGCCCACCCAGCCCCAGCCCGCAGTCAGTCGCCCCCTCGGCCCGACCCGATCCCCGCCCGGTCCCCGCCACCGTCCGGCCGGACCTCGGCCCCTCGGACACCGCTCTGCCCAGCGCGACGCAGCAGCCCCGCCCCTACCGCCCCTACCCAAGGGCGCAGCGGGGACCACGCTGTCCCAGACCCCACGGGGGGACGTCAGCCCGCGCTCCGGCCGTCGAGGGGCACGCGTTGAATTCAAAGCCGCAGCGCTCACCGCCGCGCCCGCACCTCCAGCACCCAGCCGAGCCCAGGGCGCGTGACTCGCCGGGCCATACCATCGACCCACCGCTGGGGGGGATGCGGGAAACGCCCGAACGCGCCCTGCACCGTGAGACACGCCGGACCCTCCAAAGCCCGCACTCAGGAACACAGACATGGTCCCACAACTCCGAAGACAGGCGCGAAACCAGGCACAGCTGCCAGACACCTCCCTGTTGGCCGCCCCCATTTCACTACACACCCCGCCAGGAGTACAGAATGGTTCAAACCGAGCATTCTGGGACTCCTGGAAGAATCCATTCCAAGGGCGAGGGGATGTCAAAATTTAAAAGCCGTTTTAAAAAGAGATCTGTGGGAAAATACAGCCGGTATGACACGCTGTACACACAGAAAAGAAACAAGGTAGAAAATAACTTTCGAAGAGCCTTGCGTTTTCTTTTGGGTTCAGCAATGGTTTTACTTAAATTGAAGACCGAGTGGAATGTGCCCGCAGTTGGCCGGGAGGAGGCCGTCACGTGTCGCGGCCGGGCCGCTAGTTGCATAACTCGAGTCGGACGGGGGGCGGGGCCGCGCGGGGCGGGGCCCGCGGTCCGGTCCTCTCGCCAGACATGGTAGTACCTCCAAAGTTTAAAAAAATTGCAGGACGGTATGTGTTTTAAGCCTATAGGCCTGCTATTGTCTGGCTACTTAAAAATTAATTTTAAAGCCATTATTGCATTATGTAATGTTCCGTGAAGAGCTGGAGAGAAAGTCAGGCCAGGCGCCGCCAGCGGGTGCTCGGTGCTCGGTGCTCGGTGCTCGGTGCTCGGTGGGAACTGAGACCGCCGCCTTTGGCTGTGCGCAACTCTGCTGAGGACTTCGGTGCGGTAGTTCCAGCAGAGTGTCCACAACGTGACTATCAGGCAGTGCTGGGGAAAGCCTTAGCCGTTTGGAACACGGAGGTCACTTTCTTTCAATTCCATGTCTGTTGAAGAGATCGTGAGAAAAGAACAAAACTGCAGCTTGTGTTTCCTACCTTCACGTACTGGTCTGGTGCAGATATCCTTACCAACCCGCTTCTGCCTGATGCAAACAGCACAAAAGCTTGATTCATTGGCCGACTTACAGGACATTTTCTGAAGCAAAAAACACACGAGGGTATAGTGGTTTGGGATTCTCCTTTTACCTTTGCCATCAGTAATACAGACACTTGGTCATTTATTGCTGGCAAAATGCTTCGAGAGCGGCTGGGCATCAAACCCCAAGGCATCAGGCATGACAGGCAAGCCCTTTAGCACTGAGCTACACCCCGCATTTGGTTGTGGGGTTTTAATCCATGAACAAGATTTTTTTTTTTCATTTTGTGGTTTTAATTTCAGGAATTACCTTAGGCAGTTTGTTAGTGGAAGCCTCAGTCCTGTTCAGATTATCTTTACTTCCATGGTGATAGGATAATAAGGTCCTAATGGAGGAAGGTTATTCAGCCACTGGCATTTGCCTTCCTTTCTTGTGTTGTTACAGAGTCTCACACTGTAGCCCTCGCCGTCTTGAGCTCAGCAGTCCTGCCTCAGCCTCTCACGTGCTGGAGTTACAGACGTGCGCCACCACACTCCCTCGCTGGTATTTTCAACAGAATCCAGTGTGTGCTCACCCGACTTGGGCTCAGTTTATGCTCCTGATATCTTCCCCAATGCTACTGGACTGGCTCAGCTACCTATTTTTTTAGGCGGTGCTTTCTCAAACTTGTTAGTCTATTAAAAACAAATTGCCGGGCCGGGCGTGGTGGTGCGCGCCTGTAATCCCAGCACTCGGGAGGCTGAGGCAGGAGAATCGTTATGAGTTCGAGACCAGCCTGGGCTACAAAGTGAGCTCAAGGCCAGCCTGAACTGCATAGCGAGACCCTGTCTCAAAAAGACAAAAAACAAACAAACAAACAAACAAAAAAACACCCAAACAACAAAAAAACAAATTGCCAAATCTTTGTCCTAGTGCATCAAGTGTTAAACTGGGATCTCAAGGTATCAG